ATAAAATGCTATGCCCAAGATTACCATCCGAGTGCCGGCGGGGAAGTGGTTCATATAGCCTCTGCTATCACTTCCTTATGTCCGGTCGTGATGGTCAAGCGGATTAAGGCGTCCCTGTACATACCAGTTGTGGGAGTATGGGTTCGAGTCACTTCTGGGTGTGAGTTTTCAGTTGTATATAGTCCTGGGGACCATTCAGGCTTGTTTGCATATATATATATATATATTATATAATATATATATATATATATATATATATATATATATATATATATATATACATAATATATATTTGGTTGTACAGCCGACACTAAAAAGTTTAATCCATTTGTTTCAGAGACGAATGTTTAAGAGGAAACTTTTACAATACGTACGCTATAGTTCAGCGTCTCTCACCTCGACGCCTTACTAGAGGAACACGGCTCCAGGGCTTTGCTTTATTTCTTCGCTGGTGATGTAAACAAAGCAGCCATTAAGTGTGTCACAAGAGTAACCAGGTTATCGCCTTTCTGAGCCAAGTGCTTATGTGCGGTCACGGAGGACTGTGGACACGCAAACACAGGAGTATCGGAGCTGTGCCTCGTACACTATAGCTGGCCGAATGTGCTCAACTTTAATCTCGACGCACGTGCATAGATGGCGCTAACTGCTGTCTCAATATGCTTAGCTCCAGTACTGACGCACGATCATAGATGGCGTTAAGAGCCATTTCTCCTCCACTTCTGGCTTTAATAGCCTCACCTGCTTGTACCACACTATTATAGATGGCGCTAACACCAATACCCCCGTCCCCCTAGCCTTAATAGGTTCAGCTTTAATCTTGACGCATGCTCATAGATGGCACTAACTGCTATAGCTATACCGTTAACACTGCTGCAGCGAATATTCTCAAGTAAGGCAGTGAAATAATTTTCCAGCACGATGCTCTTATCAATGTTTGTAGTATGAGATTGGTTTAAGGTACAGGAAGAGTTTGTTTACGCAAAATGTAAGCGCATACTAATATAACCATACAGAGTTTATATATATATATATATATATATATATATATATATATATATATATATATATATATATATGTCGTACCTAGTAGCCAGAACGCACTTCTCGGCCTACTATGCAAGGCCAAATTTGCCTAATAAGCCAAGTTTTCCTGAATTAATAAATTTTCTCTAATTTTTTTTCTTATGAAATGATAAAGCTATCCATTTCATTATGTATGAGATCAATTTTTTTTATTGGAGTTAAAATTAACGTAGATATATGACCGAACCTAACCAACCCTACCTAACTAACCTAACCTATCTTCATAGGTTAGGTTAGGTTAGGTAGCCGAAAAAGTTAGGTTAGGTTAGGTTAGGTAGGTTAGGTAGTCGAAAAACAATTAATTCATGAAAACTTGGCTTATTAGGCAAATCGGCCTTGAATAGTAGGCTGAGAAGTGCGTTCTGGCTATTAGGTACGACATATATATATATATATATATATATATATATATATATATATATATATATATATATATATATATATATATATATATATATATGTCGTACCTAATAGCCAGAACGCACTTCTCAGCCTACTATTCAAGGCCCGATTTGCCTAATAAGCCAAGTTTTCATGAATTAATGTTTTTTCGTCTACCTAACCTACCTAACCTAACCTAACCTAGCTTTTTTTTTGGCTACCTAACCTAACCTTACCTATAAATATAGGTTAGGTTAGGTTAGGTAGGGTTGGTTAGGTTCGGTCATATATCTACGTTAATTTTAACTCCAATAAAAAAAATTGACCTCATACATAGAGAAAAGGGTTGCTTTATCATTTCATAAGAAAAAAATTATAGTAAATATATTAATTCAGGAAAACTTGGCTTATTAGGCAAATCGGGCCTTGAATAGTAGGCTGAGAAGTGAGTTCTGCTACTAGGTACGACATATATATATATATATATATATATATATATATATATATATGTCGTACCTAATAGCCAGAACGCACTTCTCAGCCTACTATTCAAGGCCCGATTTGCCTAATAAGCCAAGTTATCATGAATTACATGTTTTTTTCGTCTACCTAACCTACCTAACCTAACCTAACCTAGCTTTTTTTGGCTACCTAACCTAACCTTACCTATAAATATAGGTTAAGTTAGGTTAGGTAGGGTTGGTTAGGTTCGGTCATATATCTACGTTAATTTAACTCCAATAAAAAAAAATTGACCTCATACATAGAGAAAAGGGTTGCTTTATCATTTCATAAGAAAAAAATTATAGTAAATATATTAAGTCATGAAAACTTGGCTTATTAGGCAAATCGGGCCTTGAATAGTAGGCTGAGAAGTGAGATCTGGCTACTAGGTACGACATATATATATATATATATATATATATATATATATATATATATCGTACCTAGTAGCCAGAACGCACTTCTCAGCCTACTATGCAAGGCCCGATTTGCCTAATAAGCCAAGTTTTCATGAATTAATTGTTTTTTTCGACTACCTAACCTACCTAACCTAACCTAACCTAACTTTTTTCGGCTACCTAACCTAACCTAACCTTAAAGATAGGTTCGGTTAGGTTAGGTAGGGTTGGTTAGGTTCGGTCTTATTACTACGTTAATTTTAACTCCATAAAAAAAATTTACATCATACATAATGAAATGGGTAGCTCTATCATTTCATAAGAAAAAAATTAGAGAAAATATATTAATTCATTAAAACTTGGCTTATTAGGCAAATCGGGCCTTGCATAGTAGGCTGAGAAGTGCGTTCTGGCTACTAGGTACGACATATTATATATATATATATATATATATAATATATATATATATCTATATATATATATATATCACCGAAACTAAACGAAATATGAACAAATTCATTTATATGAGCCAAATACGATTGTTTTTAACAGGGAAATGTAATTTGTAGTAATTTGCCCCTCAAAGAACTGTACCAATTACCTGAAACAAAGTGATCAGGCGGGTAATAGAGGTCTGACTGGCACGAATGGACAAACACACGCACAATCAACAGGCACGAACGAGCAAGCACACAAACATTCGCGCTCACAAAAGAGAATGGTAATTGATACAATTTTGTAAATAGAGGAAGAGGCAAGGGTGAAGGGAAGGGTTGATGGTGAAGGGTACTAGCAGTGCTGGTGGAGGGGAGGGGGTGGTGGTGGAGGGAAGGGGTGGTGGTAAAGGGAAGGGGGTGGTGGTAAAGGGAAGGGAGTGGTGGTGGAGGGAAGGGGGTGGTGGTAGAGGGAAAGGGGAGGTGGATAAGGATACCACGAGTCATTAGAGAACGATTGACTGGTTGACGTCACTGGCCACGACAGGTTGAAAAGACCGACGGAGAACTGGCATTTACTGACTGGGAACTGCATGACTGCCTAAACTTGACTGAACGCCAGACACTGACTGGCTAGTTAGGATTCTGACGAACATGCTAACTTGATTA